GCAAAAACGCCACACGCGAGCTGTTTTTACGCTGCGCATGCCGATGCCGACCGCGCGCCGTAGTTGGTAGAACTGTAACATCCGTTAATGGCCGAGGATGTGCACCGCAGAGATCGGTGAGATTATCCATCCGACGAGCGGCGAGTTTCTCAATTTGTGCATGTTATCACGGCCGGCTTTGGGGCCGGGCTTCATTAGTCGAGCTGCGAATCGGTCGGGATGGCTGTTCCCATAGTAAAATGCGCCGTGTGATGCCGATTGATAATTTCATCGGGACAAATCGAGCGCAATCGCTGCCATCGATCGGCAACTCGCGATGTATTCATAATTCCGGACATTTTCCTCTCATTTTTCGTTCGAAATTCGCGTGTTTGCAGACAATTTGAATAAAAATTTATACGTAAACGTGAAATAAACTGATTTTAATTGGTCGTCATGTTTACACCTGGATTTGCATGATGGCATCATCGCTGTTTATGCAAATTAACGACGACGACGCCGCCGCAGTTACATCTGTTTTTCGTCACTGTAGCAGCCGAGCGACACTGACGCGCGAAGAAAATGCAATAATGTGAGAGTTTTTCATCATTTCGCCGGGTATGAAAGACGTCATTAACCTTGCTCTATATTTATGTATTCATATTGAAGCTGATGCACGGCGACAAAACGCGCAACAAGTGCAACTCGCGGATTGCGCGTGCGAAAAACGCCGCAGTGAAAACGAAACAAAACGGCTCGCATTGTTCACTCGCGCGCAGATTACAATTAGAGATGAGGACGCGATTGCACCGCTTGAAAATGACTCAATCTCACCGAGTAATGAAGAAAAAATCTCTTTTTTTTTATTTCGCGAGTGGCGAGGAATTAATTGTTAGGGTTTGAAATGTAGAAACGTATCGCAGGAAAATTGAAATGATTTTTTCGCGGTGTTAGAGGTGCCTCTCGCTGAGGTCAGAGGTCGGCACGTGACCGATCTAATATAATAGCGGCTCGCGCGCCGGCCGTGCTCGAAAGCGTTTTCTTCGGGCGCGCTTCTTTCGGCACGCGAGCGATGCACGCCGAGGCGCGGGCGATCGCGCGGCTTGCGGCGCTCTCGTCGGCGGCACGATCCGCCAGATCCACGATCCGCACGAGCACATTAAGCGCGCGCGGCCCCGGGGACAGACTTACGACCGGCCCGGACGTAAACACCGGTAAACACGGACGGCGCTGGAAAAGGACGCCGCGCCGAGCGACATAAATCGCCGTAATGATTCAATAAAATTCAGCGGCTGTGTGCAGCAGGATTGCGACACTACACCCACCCATCACCCAAAAATTAACCAAACATAACCTCACACATCAGCTGTCAATTGTCATCGGATTGTGGTAAGAGCGATGAAAGGTGCTGGTTTAATTTAATCACAAACGGCCAAAGACATGTCTAAAGTTCTTTAGTCACGCGGTGGCTTTATTTTGAAGTATTTTTTATTACAAAAGTTCAAATAAAAAGCGGAAATAAAGTGAAAATAAGTTAAACGTGGTTAAAATGTCACTTAGCGCACTTGATAATTAAAATATGATTAAATACGACTCTGCACAATTGAAAAATTAGCTTATTTTATAAAATCAATTCATTTATGTAATTGTTTTGCGCTGTAAAGTTCAATAAAATACAGCGCTGTGCAGCAGGATTGCGACACTACACCCACACCACCCAAAAATTAACCAAACATAACCTCACACATCAGCTGTCAATTGTCATCGGATTGTGGTAAGAGCGATGAAAGGTGTTGGTTTAATTTAATCACAAACGGCCAAAGACATGTCTAAAGTACTTTAGTCACGGGGTGGCTTTATTTTGAAGATTTTTTATTACAAAAGTTCAAATAAAAAGACCTAAACGCGGAAATAAAGTGAAAATAAGTTAAACGTGGTTAAAATGTCACTTAGCGCACTTGATAATTAAAATATGATTAAATACGACTCTGCACAATTGAAAAATTAACTTATTTTATAAAATCAATTCATTTGTGTAATTGTTTTGCGCTGTAAAGTTCAATAAAATTCAGCGCTGTGCAGCAGGATTGCGACACTACACCCACACCACCCAAAAATTAACCAAACATAACCTCACACATCAGCTGTCAATTGTCATCGGATTGTGGTAAGAGTGATGAAAGGTGTTGGTTTAATTTAATCACAAACGGCCAAAGACATGTCTAAAGTACTTTAGTCACGGGGTGGCTTTATTTTGAAGTTTTTTTTATTACAAAAGTTCAAATAAAAAGACCTAAACGCGGAAATAAAGTGAAAATAAGTTAAACGTGGTTAAAATGTCACTTAGCGCACTTGATAATTAAAATATGATTAAATACGACTCTGCACAATTGAAAAATTAACTTGTTTTATAAAATCAATTCATTTGTGTAATTGTTTTGCGCTGTAAAGTTCAATAAAATTCATTTGCGGCGGATTGCGACACTACACCCACACCACCCAAAAATTAACCAAACATAACCTCACACATCAGCTGTCAATTGTCATCGGATTGTGGTGAGAGTTGATGAAAGGTGTTGGTTTATTAGCGCTGAATTACCTGCCTCACTTGTTGCTGCACTCACGACGATCATTATCGCATTGTATAATTGTATAATTGAAATTTGTTAATAAGAGGCGCGCGCGTCAAGCGCGAAGATGCCAGATGGCAACGAGCGCGCCGAGACAATAGGTCATTTGCATAATCGTTATTCATGTTTTATTTGCGAAACATAATCGCGGCGCGCGATCATCATCATCATCATCAACCACATCGACAGCATCGAGCGAAATCATCGTTTTGGATTAATAATAATAAGTAAATTGATTAAGCGCGTGCGCGGCTAAGTGGTGGCTAAGTGGCGATTTGAATGAATCATAAACGATCTCATATTTTATTTCCATAATGAAAAATACGCATTTCCAAGAATCCGATGAAGAAATCACACGCGCGGTTGTTTTACTGTTTTGATTTAGATTCGAAGTTTGAGTTAATCCGGTGGGTGTGCTCACCCGTATTACACGAAATGTCAAACGCTTTGACATTACTGACATTACTTTTATTACGTTTCTGCGCGCGCGCGAGCGCGTTTTTTCCACACGCAATATATTTAAGCATTAAAAGAGCATAAACGATTGAGCAACGGCTATGATCGATCGATTGGCGTTGGCATCGAGCCGTCGTGTTTACGAGCGGCCGCCATAAAACGGCGAAAAGTGCATTTTCAAAGAACTGCGAGCACTTCAACTTTGACCAACGCTTGCAAGGCGCATGCGCGCGCGCGTTGCGTCAGGCGAAAATGTAACACGCAAGTTACTTGCTCATCCGGAACGTGCGGATTTCGGCGGATTGCGCAAGCGCTGCACTGCGCTGACACTCGCGTCACGTAACCTAATGATTCCATTTGGTCATTTGTTGTCGCCGGAAGAAAAAGGTACCTACTCACCTCTATCGGTTGCAGGGCAAAGTGGACATCATTGTTTACACAACAAGCATTGACTTGACTTGATTTACAACACATGCATGAGTAAGTTTTGACTATTAAAATACATTTTCGGCTTCAGTTTTGTCTTCAGATGATCCAAGATGGCGGGTTTTTCGTTGGGAGGATGACCACCATACACCGAGGCCTAGCCTTTGCCGTGCAATCCCTGTTTGCTACATGAGACAACCTGCTACAAGACATAGTGTTAAACAAATCCCAAATGGAATCATCATTCATTGAAAACAAAAATGTGGTAAGTGGTAAATTTTTCTCTCTTTTCTATGCAAAAGAAAAAAATGTAATCCATCAACAAATTTGTAAGGTTTTTTGCTTGTTTGATTCGCGGATTGTTGCGTCCGCGTGTGAGAACGCAAAATGTAACGAAAAGCGCGCCGTGCAACCAACAATAGACTCGACAATTTCGTCGTTTACTGCGTGCGTTGTCGAGCGCGGCCCGCCGCGGCGTCGCGCGTCGAAATTACTCAATAATATGGGAACTGGAGTAACATCTCCGAGGCGGCATTATATTCAGCGCGCACCAAACAACAAAACACAAACGAAGCGGTCGTTCGCGGCCGCGTTTGCAAACAACGCAATTAACGCGCGCCGACGACAATCACCGCTTTTAATTAAATGAAGACGAAATACAAATTGAATCAAATGTCTTTCAAACTCTAACACGAAAAACGTTTTTGTCGTCGGCTATTATTTCGTTTGCTATAATTTTTCGTAAACTGAAAAACTTGGGTTTTTTTCTTCTTTTCTTTTTTTTTTTTTCGTTGTTGTTGTCATGTGGCTTTGTTCACTTTGTTCACTTTGTTGCGGGTTTTTGCATATGTGCGACGAATTGTCTTGAATGACCGAAAAACAATAACGGCCTAAGACAATGAATCGTTGTCCGCCGCCTAATGCGTTTCAAATGTACGGGCCGCGGCCCGCCGGAGAAGGCAAAACAGATCCAATTAGCACTAACAAACGCGTGCCTGTTGCGCGCCGCGCGATGTGACAAAACAAGCGTAATGCGAGCGAGCGCACAAAGAAATGCAAAGCATGTGAAATCCACGACGTCGGCGACGGCCAGCGACGACAAAAGATGACAAAATTCGTGTAATTTGCCCGTCTTCGTCAGACGTCGACGCATAATCAACTTAATGAATGGCCCGCGACGAATCCGCGTAAAACAAGCAAACGAATTCGCCGCAGCACAACATTTACAAACAAATATTAAAAAGAAATTCGCCGGAATGACAATGTGACAGCCGCGCTTGACGGGCAGATGATGAATTTTAATTTCGTTGATATTATGATACATTTTTTTCACTTTTTTTTTGTGTAAGAGCCACGGCTAATTGCGCGCATTATTCGGCATTACCTATTCTGTGCTCGGTCAGGACACAAATTTCTAGCCCGAGCGACAGTTAGAAAGCATGCTTAAATTAATTAATTCGAGCGACTCGAGCTGAAGTCCTCGGCGAAATGGATTACACTGCGACTTACCGTTGAAGGCTTCGTCGATGAAAATCTTCGACAAAATCCTCACTTGTGATTCTTAACTTTTTTCCCAAAATGATGCGACAAAACACAGTATTCGTTGATAAAATTATTCAAAAAATCAATTTTCACACTGTTTTTCTGCTTCCGGCGCGGTTTACAACAATTGCACTGAAATTAGTTCAGTCTGCGGGTGGCCGGCTGGCAGGATCACCGAATCCTCTCCCTGGCACCGAGGATACAAGTGGCACATTTCGCACTCGAGGCGTCTTAGGGTTGTGTAGACAAGTTGAAAAGCCACGTGCGCTTGAAAAACACGTGCGTGTAGAATACAGTTGTCTGATAAAGTTGTCAGTGATGATCTGCTGGATGTGTTGTTGGTCGAAGAGCAACTTGTAATTAACTGATGTGATAATAAAAGTTTGATTTGCAAAGTTTGGAACAATGCGCAGCGCACTTGAAAAACTTTTACTCGCGTCGAGAGCGCGCGCTCGCGTGCTGAGTCGGCGGTGCGCTTGGTGCTCTGCTCCGAACGACGTCCGAACAGACACTGTCCGCGAGCGGATGCTGCGCGTCGCGGGCAGGTTCGATGCTAAGATGATACGCGCGAGCGGCGCGCGCGACGGCGAAGAGAGCGATTTCGCGCCCGCTCCCGAAGACGAATGCGTGCGTTGGCCGAGAGCGCGCGAGCCAATGACGGGCGGGTCGCTCTGATTTTTCGCTCTGCAATGCCTACGCGACCGGCGGAACATCAGCGGCAGCGACGTTTCCGAGCGGTGACTTCAATGCATCACCAAGAAAACATCCAACGTAAAAAATTTAATTTTTTGATAAAAATTATTAATTTAAAGTAAAATAATATTAGGTAGAGTGTAGTTAGGTAGTAGTTGTGTAGTTTTCGCAATTAGCAAAAACGATAGCTAAGTGACTTTTACTTTTTTCGTCGCAGCATCGCGCATAGCGGTGTGTGCGCGCGTGTGTCGGTGCTCCAGTTTGCGGTAAGTAACGTTCTCCGCGCTCATGTCGCTGGCCGGCGATCGAAAGTGGTCATCTGGTGCGGCGCAGCCTCGGCCACGCCACGCGGAACCCAGCGCGCCGCCGCTCCGAGAAAAATTGTGCAGCGGCCGGGGCGAGCGCGCGCGCGTGTGAGTGTTATTGCTGCTGCTCTGCTCTGCAATGCTTCGATCCCGCGGCCGCGGCGGCGTGTGTGGACGCTGGACGCGAATGTGATCTGCTTTAGATCGACGACTCTTGCGTCTCTCGCGGGCGACAGACACGCGGACGCGGCGCAATAGAGATCGGCCGAAACCGGAGCGCGCGCGCGGCTGCCAAAGGAGAGTGGCCTGCGCGGAGGCTATTAAGACGACGACGACTTCCTGCTTAGAACAACTTTTGCGCGCGTACCGCCCGACCACGCCGCAACTTTTATTTTTATTTATTTTATGTTGTCTGCGTGATTTTTCTTCCAATGCAATGGGAAATTTTTGGTGGAGGCGCCGGGCAATGGAGAGTGAAATGCGTAGGACTTGGACAAAATTCGAAATGATTGATGATTTTCAATCAGGAAAGTGTCAACCGCATTAGGAACAATTGCCACCTGGCCGGTCGCTCGTAGACCGGGTGCCAGCGCGTCACCGATGAAATACGAGCTAATAACGCCGGGGCGCGCGCGCTGAAACTATAACAAATTCAATATCTATTCAAAACACGTCGCGGCTTGCAAAAGGCGCACAAAACGGCGGCCGCGACGCCTCCGTTATGCCATCGCATTCACAATCGCTGGCCGTTTGCGCAACGTTATTAATATCGCATTTGTGGCCATCTTCGCGCCAGGTGAACGGAATTCTCTTCAGCAAATTGATTCAAAGTGCAAAAAACGGCGTTCAAGTGCAGTCATTTGCCCGATCATCACCACAGCGAATATGTGATATGATATAACGCGCAAGATTTCAGTCAGCAGGTGGATTTTAATGAAGGCGCGCGCGCGGATGCTTAGATGCACAGTTTGCAAATTAGTAAGTGTGATTTTCCGACGGTTTTGGAAGTAATGATTGGTAGTGGTCCGAAATGGGCAGTGCATAGCATGCGCGGAGCGAGTCGGAACGTAACGCGGTGCGACGGACGGCGTGAATAATGTATGCCTCCCACATGCGCGCTGATTAGCGAACGAGCAGCCGCGCGCCGCCGTCCACGTCCCTCCTTTTCCCAACCGCTCGCGGCTTTTGTACCGCTCTCGCCCGCGTCTAATAAATCCCTGCGGCAATGCGCGAGTACACATTGTCGCGCGCTAACGAACCCGGCAACGAGCTGCCACAGCAGCAGCGCAAATCTGGGAGCAGAGCGAATCGATCAAAAATTCGCCTTAGCGAAATGAGTATTCAGAGTTGAATAACAACTGGATAGTTAAACATCCGCAAGCATTGAAAAAATCTTGTTTTTTTGTGGGTTTTCGAGAGACATTCGTTGCATTTGTTACATTTTTATTGCGTTCATTACGCGCGGGCCGTACACGCTCGAGGAATGCGTAGCGCAGCGGTAAAAGTCCAATAAAAGCGCGTAAAAAATCTATCAACAAGTCCGAGGAGCGCGCGCGCACGCGGGACTCTTTTTACGACGTTCGTAAATCAAACCTGCGCGCATGTTTGTTGCAGTTGTAAATTCATTAAAATTCATTAACACATCGTTCGCCATTTGCGCACTGCGCTAAACATCACCAAGTACGCATCATGTAGGGAAGGTAGCCTAAGTTGGACCAGCGCCTAAGTTGGACCACCACGATATCCGCGGACTGTTGAAGTTTGTGCAAAATAGACTGGCCCCTTGTTTTACTCGTATTTATAAACAATTAATGCAACTATTTGGGTTAAAACTTGCCGCGTGCTTTCGTCGTGACAACAACTTCGTGTATTCTTGATTATCAAATCTATTATAACGACGTAAGTGCAAGAGCTGTCAAGCCGTTTAAACGTTAGTTTTACCGATTATTATTTTATCATCAGAAAGCTTCTTTATTTATCTATAATTTATAGTATTAATTTTGAGAGGTTATGTTATATTAAGATTGTCGTTGATCATTAAATATAAATTCTTCAAGTTGCCCAAGTTGGACCGAAGACAGGCACCGGGGTTTTAACAGGGAAAACGTATATCATTTTTTCGACCTCCTAGAAAAGCTTGTGGACGAGCACAAATCTTCGAAATGATCCACTGTATGAAATGCCGCACTTTGGTTTATACAAAATGTGCTTGTGTTACTGCTAAAACTAAAATTTACTATTGTGTCAATTGCCGTTAAAAAAGCATGGTCCAATTTAGGAAACCGCGCGGTCCAATTTAGGAAACCGGTTTCTTAATTTGGACCAAAAACACAATTTTTTTAAATTGAAATTTGAGGGGTATAAATATAATTTTTACTTAAACCAAAAATATCATTTTGTTGGTAAGCCTTGTGAGTTACTTTTCCGCTACTTACTTTTTATTGACAGTTTATATGTGGCTCTATAAATCAAAAATATAAAATGGTCCAAATATGGCTACTTTCCCTATGTAGTTTGCCCCTAGTAGGTAAAGCATTGTTTTCTGCTCTTGGTACGTAATAAACGATTTTTTCCTTGAAAACAATCCTCTTGGTATGTAATAAACATTTTTTCCTTGAAAAAATCTATCTTCCTTGAAAAAATGTTTATTTGCTATCAGCGTGGAAAACATCGTTTTCTGTACACATAGGTGGAAAATACAGCTTTTCATGCATGTGTGTAGTTAGCCCCGTAGGAAAAGCATTGTTTTCTACTCTTGGTGCGTAATAAACGATTGTTTAATTTTAATAAACGTTGTTTTTGCTACCAGAGTGGAAAACACGGTTTTCGGTACAAAAGATGGAAAGTTAAGATTTTCATGCATTTGTCAATTTTACCTCATTCGGAAAAGCATTGTTTTCCACTCATGGTATGTAATAAATAATTTTTTCTTGAAAAGTTGTTTTTCCTTGAAAAAACGTATTTTTCTTAAAAAATAGTTTTATTCTTAAAAAATGTTTATTACATATCAAGAGTGGAAAACACTGTTTTCTGTACATTCTGGGGGCGTTGAAAGACGTGCTTTTCATGTCAACCATGTGGAAAACTTGCGCTTCAGTGTGTAAAGCATTGTTTTCCATCCTTGCTACAAGAATTTTTCAAGATTTTGTCGTTTTTTTAATGAAACCAAACGTTTTTCCAGCGTTTTTCACCAAAACAAAGGGTTGTAATGATTTCCGCGCGTATTCCGCGGAATGCAGATCAGTTTAGTAATTTCTCCTCTCGGTGCACGGGCGGCGGTTGGCGCGGTGATTGTTGTTTTCGGTTGCGGCGAGTGAGCGTTCGCGATCCGCGGCTGGAGATGGTGTTCGCGCTGGTCGAGTGCACACGTCTCGCTCGCCAGCTAGTGATAGTAAAAGTGGCCACGCCTAGATCGATATACTCTGATTTTCGATCTCCACACGCACGCCGCGCCGCCATCAAATCCACCGCCGGACAATATTAAATTCCGTTAGGTTACCTTCTGCCTTGTTTCTCGCTTTCGGCCAACAGAGCAGCTATTCGTACATGCAACTGTCCATCTGTCCGGCTGCAGTAATTGGATCGAATTCTCGCGCGAATAACAGATACGTCGATAATAAAATGAAAAAAAAAACGCGCCAAGGATACGCGCTGATGATTTAATTAATCGGGTTCCCACCGTATAAGCGCGCGTACGCATTAGCCGGCTGGATAATAAGATGTCGCGGCGCGTTTAGAAATTGGACATGTGCGTAACACTCCGATTGTGATCGGTGGCTATGATCTGGACGTCACATTATGTACTTTCATTTTGCTCCGGCGCTGCTCTGACCACATGATGTTTCCATCGTTTTATCGACGTTTTCAAAAATCTATCTCCACGCGCGTTGTGCAATCGTCTAATTAAATATGAAACCCGCGAAAAAAATCTGGTTTTGTTGTCGTTGGGTCGCGTTTTGATGAGCTGGACAAAAACCAGCGATGTCGAAAATGATATTCTCGCTCTGGTTTTTTGAAGAGACTCACGTTGGCATCGTTTTCGTCGCGGCCATTATGTTGTCATTACGCTGGCATTACGCAAACGCAAATTTTTCTCTCAAATTTTTTTTTGCGCGGCAGCGAATTGAAAAACATAACCGAAGAGAATAGCATGTTGTTGGGTTGGTTGTGGATCGCGAGCAGCGCGCACGTGCCTCGATCATCACGCTTCTTTCTCGCGGCGCGAGCGCGCGCGAGCTTTCAAATCGCTGCCGCTACTTGGGCAGCAATTAAGCGCCGCTAATACCCGCCCGACGCGCCCAAAACAAAACCGCACGCAACAAGCCACACACACACTGCGCGACATCGCGCTGCAGCAGAAAATCCGCGCACCGCGCGGCGCTGCCGAAAAAAAAGCGCCGACGCTAAACGCGAACGCGGAAATTGTCTCGCGAGTGGCTTCGTTTTTCCGCGGCCGGCATGCGCTCGCATGCGTTGGACGCGTTATGCGGTTGCTCTGGCGGCCAGTGAAAGTGACACATCCACTCGGGTGCGCGCGTTCGGCCGGCGGACACGCCGCACACGCTTCATTTGTTACGGAATTGCGCCGCATGCAGATAGAGTTATTTATTTATTTAT